GCTCCCAAACCCAGCCCAGGGGATCTCCGTGGAAAGCAGGAGATGATGGGCAGGGGGGCCCTGGGCATCCCCAGCAGCGGGAGCACGTCCCAGACACGGAGTTTGCTCTGCTCCAGCAGCATCCCAGCCTCCAGTAGCTCTCCTGCCTTCCTACCCTCTGGCTCTGGGAGCACGAGGGACCCCCAGAGGGCCCCACAACCCCCCGGGCTGGCGATGGGGCAGGATGTGACCCCACGGCAGGTGCAAACCCCCTCCCTGCTCCCTCCCACCGCCCCGCTCCGGTCCCGCTCTCCCTGCAAACACGTCTGCGAGGGAAGGATCCAGAGCCCGGAGAGGCTCTAATGGGATGCTTAAGCCGCCTTTTAGGTTTTTAATGAGCGGATCCCGGCAGGAATGCTAAACACGGGCAGGTACAGCCCAGCCTCGCCGGCAGCCGCGCGTGTTCCCGTGTCCTTGTCTGGCTGAAGTGAGCTCTGACCTCATTTGCTTCGCGCCGTTCAATTAACGAGGCGAGCGGCGCTGGGACGGGGGGGGGATGCTGGAGGGGGTTCACCCCGTGTATTAATTTCCATTTTATGTTCCAAACAATTGAGCAGCACACGGAAACAGCCGGTCCCTGGCGGGGCCGTTCCCAGACTCCGCTCTGCCCGCACTGGGATTTCCTGGGGACACCCAGCTCGGCGCTGGTGGTTTGGGGGCTCGGGGGGGACCGTGGGGGTCCCCGCCCCGGCCTCTCCATCCCATTCTCCAGCCAGGGAAGGGCCCTGTCGCCGTATTTGTTAATGTCCCTCCATCTTGTGCTTCATCCGGAACGTCGATGGCCGCCAATGAGACAGAAATGATTGGGAAAGGGCGACAGAGGGAATGAAACGTTTCCCGGGATGTTAAAATAGCGACTTCAGGCACCTAAATTTATGCTGCTCTGAAATGGGTTTTAGTCCAGCGTAATGAGAGAACAAAATAATTAATTCCTCTCCCGCAGACAAAAGGCTGGAGGCTCAAATCCAGCCCCATCGTCCCACTGAGCCGGTGGAGGATGGGACAGTTCCTGGAGCCAGGGCTGGATCACGGAGGTGCAGCCCAGGGGCTGGATCTGCACCCCGAGAATGTGTCCCAGCTGGGGACAGGGTGCTGCAGAGGGCAGTCCCCTCCTCTTGGGGATTTTGGGGTGCTGGGGTGTGCCGGGGACTGGGGCTGCCCCATCCCAATCTCCCTCTGCCCAGGCTGGATCCAGCCCCACACCCCACCCGGTGCCCACCCAGGGGTGTCTGTGGGTGCCGTGGGGGGGTTGTACCCCTCGCTTAGACCTGAACTGTGGGGTTTCCAAAAGGAAGGGGTTTCCAAAAGGAAGGGGCTTCCTCTGTGCTTCCAGTACAGCCCCCACACACACTCTTTTGGGGCCAGGGATGAACGGGGGGATTGTGCTTGTTTGGGATCAAGTGATAAATATTAATTATGCAAACCAGCCTTTTCCAGCCCACCCTTGTCTCCACAACATTCCAGGACGGGGGAGAAATGGAGGCAGAGTCAATTTATTCATGGAGCAGGTCACTCCCTGTACGAACATCCCTTTCAAAAGGGAGTCGCAACTGGAGGAGATCAAGCAGGGCTGAGTTTGCCTCCCTCAGATATGATAAAATATTCTAATATATACTCGGGAAGTCCATGATGAGAACAATGTTTTGTGCCATCGAGACCTTGGCAGCAGCATTTTTAGTGGGGGTCTCTCACTGCCCCTCAGCCCCATCAGAGGGTCAGTGCCCCATGGGGTGCTCTCCCTGTTTCCAATTTTTAGTAAGAAAACATAAAAATTGGACGTTCAGGAGGAATTTCCTCCTCCTTTTGCTGCAGGAATCACAGCAGCTCACAGGACATGGCTATCACTGCACTCCAGCCCTATCCCCACTCCCACCCCATTCCTGGACCCATTGCAGCCCCATTCCCATCCCATCCCCACTCCCTTCCCATCCCTGGCCCCATCCCAAACCCATCCACAGTCCCAGTGCAGTCCAATACCCAGTCTCACCCCATCCCTGGCCTCATCCCACCTCTCTCCTCAATCCCATGTCCATTCCCATCCTGTTCCTGGCCCCAGCCCACCCCATCTCTAATCCTAGTCCCACCCCAGCTCTGCCGTTCCCAGTCCCATTCCCACCCTTCCCAGCCCATTGCCACTCCATCCCCGCAACCCAATCCCGCCCCAATCCCAATCCCAGCCCCTCCCGGTCCCCTCCCACCCCCCGTTTCCCCCCCGCCCCCCCGTCCCCATCCGGTGGGCGACGGCGTCACCGTGCGGCGGCTGCGGGCAGCGCCCGCGCCCCCCGGCAGGACGCCACCCCCCGTCCCGGGGGATATCGGGCTCCGGGGGCTCGGGGGGACAGGCCCTGACCCCTCGGGTGCGGGGCTGCGGGCGCTCCCCGAGGTGCGGGGCAGGGTGGGGGGCTCGGCGCCGGGGGGTGCCGGGTGGTCCCGGGGATCGGCCGCGGTGCCCCCGCCCTGGCCCCGCCGCGGGGCCCGATCCTGCCGCTGCGGGGGTTGGGGGGTCGGGGCCGCCCGGACCCCGCGAGCACCGGGCGGGTCCCGCAGCCCCGGGGGGCGGCGGGGGGGAGGTGCAGTGGCGGCGCCGGGCCGGGGGGTGGCACGGCCGAGCCAGGCGGGAGCGCGGCGGCCGCCGGTGATGCTGCCGGGGAGGGTCCCGGTGCTCCGCAGCCCCGGCCCCTCATCACCACCTTCCTCTCTCCCTGCAGCCCCGCGCTCCCGCTTCCGGGCGCCTCGGCAGCCTCCCATCCCTTCATCCTCCCATCCCTTCATCCTCCCATCCCTGCATCCGTGCTGCCCGGCATCCCTGCGTTCTGCATCCCGGCATCCCTCCATCCCTGCATCCCTCCATCCTTCCATCCCTCCATCCCTCCATCCCTCCATCCCTCCATCCCAGGCCGCCCTGTGAAGCCCGGCCAAGGCTCTGAGCCGTGACCGCTCGGTTTTGGGGAGCAGCGGGGGCCGCCCGGGCCCGGGGGCCGCGGCCGAGCTCAGCACCAGCCCCGGGGCGGGCGGGGGCTCAGGACCCCCCGCGCCCACCCTCGGCACAGCCCCGCGCCGGGGATGAGGCAGCGCCGGGGGGGCCACGAGCGACGCCGCAGGTAACGGTACGTGCTGGGCCCCGACCCCACCCCAAAATTGCCGGGGCTGCGGGGGCGGCCGGGGGGCCGGGGGGGGTTTAGGGGTGGCTGCAGGAATCGGGGTGCAAACACCCAACGTGGCAGCCCCTGGGTGCAGCCTCCGGCCTGCCGGGGATCCCCAGGAAGGTGGGGATGGGGCGGGAAAGGGGGAGGAGGGCGGTGGGAAAAGCCGGGGGGGGGCACAGGACACAGCGGGGGGGGGACGGGGGTATTATCTCGGAAAAGGCAGCGTACGTGCCTGGTGGGAAGGGGATTTGTGGCCGTGGTTCCACGCTCGATAATCCCGGGCGCTGGTTTTCCCCGGGCCATCTGGGCGCTCCGGGGGGGCCGTGGCCATGCCGGGGTCTCCCCTTCCCAGCAGCTGGCGGGAGCTCGCCACCCCCGGGCCACCATGCCGTCCTCCAAGAGCGAGAGCGAGTTCTGGATCGATGGGTCCCACCGCGAGGTGGCCCTGGAAGATTTCTACGTCGTGGGCCCCGAGCTGGGACGGTGCGGGCTGGGAGGGGACGGGGAGGGACTGGGGGGGGCAGGAGACCCCCCGGGATGGGAGCGTGTCCTGGTCGGGGCAGGGGTGGGTCTGGTGAGGGGAGGGGTGGAAGGACGTGGGGAGGGATGGAGGGACGTGGGAAGGGGTGGAGGGATACAGAGGGGGTCGAAGGGATTCAGGGGGGATGGATGAAGGGGGATGGAGGGATGCAGGGAGGGATGGGAGGATGNGGGGGATGGATGAAGGGGGATGGAGGGATGCAGGGAGGGATGGGAGGATGGAAGGATGGGTTGGGGGGTGGACTGTGGCAGACCCTCCCCTCACATGTAACCTGGGCCTTGGTTTGTGACGCTGCAGCCGCGGTCTGGGAGCGTCAGGGGGGGTTGGCAGGGTGGGCCTGGGGTCCCTGTCCCTGTGCAGCTGGATGGTCCTCCCCCGTGGTGGGCAGTGGGATCCTGGGGACACCCAGCTCCCCTCTGAGCACCCCAAGGCTCTGGGGTGGGCCATGGGGGTCCCACCTGCAGCACCCCCTGCAAAGGACAGGCAGTGCCAGCCCCCACAAAGGGACACAGGGTTTGGATTCCCAGGTCTGGATTTGTCCCCCCTGGGTTGGAAAACCCATCCAAGGGCACTGATTGTGATCCCAGCGGAGGTGTCTCAGTGCCCCTTGGGGTGGGGGGTCCAAAGGGGTGCTGGGAGCCCCCCTGGAAGCTGGGAAGGTTGATGGTCCTGTTTGGGGGGGCTCCGGGATGTGCAGGTGGGTTTGGTGGTTCAGGCTGGGCCAGTCCCAGCTGCCCTGGGTTGCCTTTGGCAGAGGATTCTGACAAACAGCAGTTTTGGTAAAAGCAGGAATTTAAGAGCTCTTGTTGAGGTGTGGCCGAGTCAGCCCAGGGCTTGGCAGTTCCCAGCCCTGCAGAGATGGATGTAGGACAGAGGGACAGGCCTGGAGCCCCTGGAATCAATCCATCCATCCATCCATCCAGTTTTAAATCACACTGGTCTCAGTCTTGGAGCCACCCACTCGTGGCCACACGCCCGGATCCAGGTGGGATCTGGGGCACTGGGAGCCTGCTCACCATGCACAGCTTTCCATTAGTGCCTCTCCTGGCAAGGCTGGATCCAACTGTGGCCAGGAAGCCCCAGAGGGCAGGAGAGAGATGGAGGGAACCGGGGAGGGATGGGGTGGCAGCAGGGGAGGCCCCAGCCCGGGGCTGCTCCCAGCCATCCCTCCCTGCACGTGCCCCCGCCGCCGGTCCGGGCAAATCCCATTGTTCACCATTTTCCAGTTCATCTGGAAAGCAAATGCAATTATCTCCTGTCCAGCCAAGGTTGATTGGGGATGTTTATTCGAGGCCTTGAGCGGCGGCTGCGGGGCGGCGGGGCCGGGCCGGGGTGTAGCGAATTCCGGCGCGAATCCAACCGCGGCCGTAATTGGGGAAATGCGAGGGGCAGCCGCGGGCACAGCGGGCTCAGGAGCCGCTCCGGCTCCTCCTAAACGCCGAGCCGAGCGCTCCTAAATGATCTTGTTAGCGGCAGGAATCAGGCCGGGAATTGTCCGTGCGGAAAAATCTGGTGGGAGGGCGACGGGTCCGGGCTGGGATTCAGCTGCTGGAGAGGGGGTGGAGGGTCCTGTCCCTGCATCCAGCCCGACTGGGAAATGAGGAGAAAACCTCCTGGCCTGTCCCACTGGAAGTGCATTGTCGTGGTGGTGACAGCAGCAGCGGTGCCATTTTGGGTTCAAGTCGCAGCTTTTGCCTGTTTTCCCGAGCTGGAGCGGGCGGTGGCCACCTCTCCCCTCCCAGAGGGAACAACGTGCTTCCAAACCGCTCTTTGTGTGCAAAGCAGAATTTCATGGAAAGCGTTGGGCGAAGGGATGAAAACGTTTTGAAACGAGGCCAGGTCTGGGGTTTGCTCCCCCCGGGCCCCGCAGCATCCCGGTGGAACTCGGTACCCGGCTCTGCCGTTGCCATGGGAACACCGTTCCCAAATTCAGCCGGATGAGTTGCAAAATCTGCTCTGGGTTTGAAGGCAAATCCCTCTTTCAGGAGAGCACCCGGGAGCGCGGGGGGGTTACGGGTGGAGGTCGCACAGCCCTGCCCGGGGGCAGGTTTGGGCTGGGGGGAGGTTTTGGTGTGGAAGTCGGTGGGTTTGGGTGTCTGTTCTTGCCAGCCCGAGGGTACGGGCAGGGGGGGTGCCGGGCACCTCCTGGCACAGCCTGAGCTCCGTCCCAGAAGGCGCCGAAGCCAAAGTGCAGTAAAACGCGGCCGATTACTCGGGGGCAGGAATTAATGTGCTCCAGGAGCCAGGCAGGGAGATGGAATTGCAAATGAGCCCCGGAATGGCCCCGAGCGACGGGCTGATTTCACCGTCCAGCGCTCAGAAAACGTGATTAACTCGATCTGAGATCGCCGCCGGCTGAGGGCACCGCGGGGGTGGGAAGGGAACGGTCCCGTGTCACCGCCCGGCCCGGCCGGGAGGTGTGTGGTGACGGGGGTGGCCGTGGCCGGGGGGACACGGCTGGGCTGGGCCCTGGCAGCGTCCCTGCTGTCCCGAGAGCGGGGCCACGGCGGCTCCGTCCTGTCGTGAAAGCCGCTTAAGGATTTAAACCCCCTGTAGAACTCGGGTTTAATTACAATGGCTTTGGCCCGGGAAGCCGGGAATGATGCGGGAGGGGGGGTGCAGGAGGAGGGGGATGCAGGAGAGGGGTGCAGGAAGGGGATGCAGGAATTGGGGGGGGGTGCACGAGGATGGGGAGGTACAAGGAGGGAGATGCAGGAGGAGGGGGATCCATAAGAGGGGGATCCACAATAGGGGACCCACACTGAGCTCCCAGGACCTGGCACTGGCAAAGGTGCTGGTGAGGGGCACGGGGAGAGTGGGACCCCCTGCCCTGTCCCAGCCTCACGCCCCTCATGCCCTCCCAGGGGAGCCACCTCGGTGGTGTTCAGCTGCCAGGAGAAGGGAACAGGAGCCCCCTACGCTGCCAAGATCCTGAAGAAGACGGTGAGTGGGGGGGGTGTCACGGGGGCACTGCAGGTGAGGGGGCTCAGGGTGGGGGGATGCAGTGGGAGGGAGTCCCCCCTCCTCCCTGCCAGAGCACCAGAACGGGCACGGGGCTGTCACTGGGCATGGCTCCCGTGGTCTGGGGGGTCCCAGGTGGACAAAACCGCTGGGGTTTGGGCTGGGGGTGCAGCAGGGGGGCACTGGGTGCATTTTTCTGTGGAAACGGGTCCTAGGACAGACGTGGGAACATGGTGAGGGGGGTCCTCTGGTGGGGGGCCGGACTCAGGCCCAGCAGCACAGGTGACACAACCTCTGTGTGGGCTCTGCTTTCTAGATCGACAAAAAGATCGTGAGGACGGAGATTGGGGTCCTGCTGCGGCTCTCACACCCCAACATCGTGAGTACAACCCCTGTGACAGCTCCCAGCTCCCTTTGGGTCGGGCCCAGGGCTCCTGGTTTCCCCTTAACTCTGCCCACAGGCAGCCCAGTGCTGAGGGAAGGGCTGGGATGTCCTTGTCCTCATCCCATCTCGGGGCAGGATGAACCCATCACCCCATGGGAAACCCTCCCTGCACCCCCTGTCCCCTCCCTGCCTCTCAGACGGGGTCCAGGTGACTCCCCACTCGCTGCCACATAAAATTCCTGGTCCTTGCAGCTCCTTTGAGCTCCCACCTCTGATATCAAGGACTCTCCATCCTCCTCCTCTCCCCCCCCCCAATCCCCTGGCCTGAGATTTCCATTCAGTAAGCAATTTCCACCGAGGAGATCAAATGAATCCCACAGAAAATTGCCCGTCTGTAATGAATCCTGTGAGGGGAGATAAAAGGGGAGACCAGGGCTGGGGGGCTGGGGCCGTGTCCCTCCCCTCCCTGTCCTTGCTCAGCACCCGGGGGATAACAGGGGATAATGGGAGGGTGAGGAGCGGGAGAGGGATTGGAGCAATTCCTGGTGCCCAGAGCAGAGCCAATCCCAGTGGCAGGGGCTGGGGGGCTCCGTCCCACTGCCCCCCCACCTCCCCAGAAAGGCTTATTCCCGGCTGCTTAGTTCTGCTGGAAAATTGCAAAAGTGTCTTGGAGAGGCACCTGAGTTACAGAAATGGCACAAAAAGCTGCCTGGCAGCTGCTGTGGGGCTGAGGGGGGGTGGGACAGGGCCTGCTCCCGTTGGGACTGCGGCTGGGACACTGCTGGGATGGCACTGGGACACTGCTGGGATGGCACTGGGACACTGCTGGGGTGTCACTGGGACACTGCTGGGGTGGCACTGGGACACTGCTGGGGTGTCACTGGGACACTGCTGGGATGGCACTGGGACACTGCTGGGGTGTCACTGGGACACTGCTGGGGTGTCACTGGGACCTTGCCTTCCACTGGCTGCTCCTGCCCAAGCTGCACGTCCCCCAAACCCGGGGCACAGTTTTTTCCAGCCCAGCCACACCACCCGCCCTTGGAGCTTTACTCTCTGGAGGAGCCCCAAAACCTTGATGCAAAGAAACGAAGCCAAGAGAAATCCAACCTATCCAAAGCCAGGGATAATGGGGGGAAGTGCTGGGGCTGGGGTGTCCCTAAGCCCCTCAGCCCGCTGGGTGTGGGCCTGCCTTGGGGTGTTACAGTGTTTGGGGGCAGTTTGGTGCTTCAGCCTTTTCCATGGAGAGTTCCCCCAGTGCCAGGGCGGATGCAGGGATAAGGGCCAGGATGGAAATCACCCACTCAGAGCAGCCCAGCCGATCCCAGCCGGGGATGGGAAGAGGCTCCTCTCTGATGTGTTATCAGAAACACAACAGAAAATCCAATTTCTGCCCTCCCTCCTCCTCCCCTCTGCAGGCAGCGTGGAGGAGGATCCAGCCACTTTGAATATTTAAATCCCCGAGGTTTCTGTAGGGTTCTGCTCATCCCAAGTTCAAGTGATTGTTGAAGAGGAGCTGCTCTGTTCCATTATTGACGCCGGAGCCGTCTCCGCTCTCGCTATCGTGCGGCACCGACCTCGACAGCGGCTGATAATAGGATTGTAAACTTTTGAAGTTAATGGGAAAATTATAGTGCTCCGTGTATTATTCTAATGCAATAAGCTGCCACATAGTGTCTCTCACCCCGCGGGGGCTCACGGCTTGTCACCCAGCCTGGGAAGGGAATGATTAAAGCCCCATGAAATTCGTGGTGTCACAAAAGCCTTAAGAAGCACGAAATTCTTGGGTTTCCATTAAAAAAAAAAAAAAAAAAAAAAAAAAAAAAAAAAGAAAAGGCAAAATTGCATTTTGACGTCGCTGTCTCGAGAGAGAGAATCGTTGGTTCCAGATGGGCTGGGGCGGCACAAAGGGCTCAGCCCGTGTGGGGCTGAGACAAAACTCGGGAGGAAAACACTGGTTGGTGCCTCTTCTGCTGCAGAACAGTCCCAGGGACAGTTCAGCCCCAGAGCCCTGATCCCAGAGTGCATCCCGTGGGGCTCTGTCTGTGTCTCCTGCACCCCAGAGAAGTGCAGGATTCATCCCAGGGGATGGAGGCAGGGCTGGGCAGAGGCACCGAGGCCCTGCACAGCCGGGGCTGCGAAATCAAACCTCTCAGGGAGCTCCTCCTCTGGCAAATGAGCTCGGAGACATGAAGAGGATAAAGGCACCGGCTCTTCCCGTTCCCAGGTTTATCTTCAGTCCCTGTGAAGTGAGCAGGGCTGCTGCAAACACTTAAAACAATTCGTGTTTAAACAAATCCAGAGGCAAGGAGGGAAACGTGCTGGTTGCCCTGAAACAACCCTTTTCCCCTGGCGGTGAAATGCTCCTCCCAGCACAGCCGGGATGTGTATCCCGCATCCACATCCCTCCTCCACATCCCACAGCCCTCCTGTCGCCCTTTGCAGATCAAGCTGAAGGAGATTTTCGAGACGCCCTCGGAGATCGCGCTCGTCCTGGAGCTGGTGACGGGGGGAGAGCTCTTTGACAGGTATGTCCAGCCTGGGGTCCCCAGGGCGGATCCCCCCCGGATGGTGGGGGCAGGATGGGGATGGAGGGGGCTGATGGTCCCGTGTGCCCCCAGGATCGTGGAGAGGGGGTTCTACAGCGAGCGGGACGCGGCTCACGTGGTCAAGCAGATCCTGGAGGCAGTTTCGGTAACGTGTCTTCCAGGGAGGGGGTCCCACGGGGGGCTTGGGGGTGTCACTGTGGGGGCTGCACCCAAATATCCCTTGGGAGAGGCACCCAGAGCTGCACCCATCCCAAATACCCCTGGGGGAGGCATTTGTCTGCTCACCCTTGGCCTTCCACAGGCACCTCTGTGAGATGGATCCACTTTTAGGGGAGGAGGGAGGAAGGTCAGTGCTGCTCTGCATCCCAGGTCTGCTGGAGGTGGGGTTTCTGTGGAAACAGGAGGGTTTAAAAATGGGAACTCCTAACTGGAAATGTCCTCCCCAGACCCCCCCATGCCCTGCCAGGAGGGCTGTTCCCAAAGGACCCGCCGGGCGAGTCAGTCCCGGGTTTGTTACAGGTCCCCAGTTGCTGCCACCTCCCAAATTCTGTCTGAGGCCGTTCCCTTCCTTCCCTCATCCCACTTTTTCCCTCCGTGCAGTATTTGCACGAAAACGGGGTCGTCCACCGGGACCTGAAGCCGGAGAACCTGCTCTACGCAGACCTGTCCCCCGACGCGCCCCTCAAAATTGGTGGGTCTGGGGCCCCGCCGGGGGGTCGTGGCACGAGGGGGGGTTCCTGGTGCCCCCCCTGATGGCAGCGCCGCTCCCCTGTGTCCCTCCAAGGTGACTTCGGGCTCTCCAAGATCGTGGACGAGCAGGACACCATGAAAACGGTCTGCGGGACGCCGGGGTACTGCGGTGAGCGGGGTGGGGCTGGGCTGGGAGGGGGATCTGGGGGCCCTTCCCTGCCTGAGGCCGTGCACAGCTCGGTGCAGGGGTGGCTGGTGGCTGTGCCAGGCCTGGGAGACGCCGCCGGTGCCCAGGAGGTGTTTCCTCTGCCGTGAGGCTCCCACCGTGCCAGGTGGGGTGTGTTTGAACCCCCAAACTCTGCTTCCAGCCCCCGAAATCCTCCACGGGTGCCCCTACGGCCCTGAAGTGGACATGTGGAGCGTGGGCGTCATCACCTACATCCTGTGAGTGGCTCTGGGGGGTGGAACCAGGGCCGGGAGGGTTTGTCCCACCCCGTCCCACAGCGGGGGCTCGGTGGGTGCAGCTCCTCTCAACCCCCTCCCCAACAGGCTCTGCGGCTTCGAGCCCTTCTTCGACCCGCGGGGGGACCAGTACATGTACAGCCGGATCCTCACCTGCGACTACGAGTTCGTGTCCCCGTGGTGGGACGAGGTGTCCCCCAACGCCAAGGACCTGGTGAGGGGGCGGCCTCGGGGGGCTCGGGGGCTCAGCTTCGGCTCAGCGCCCGGGAAATAACCAACCCCGGGGCGTTTTCGTCGCTCTTAGGTCAGAAAACTGATCGTTTTGGACCCCCAGAAGAGGCTGACGGTGTCCCAGGCCCTGGAGCACCCCTGGGTCACCGGGAAAGCGGCTAAGTTTGCTCACATGGACAGCACGCAGAAGAAACTGGAGGAATTCAATGCCAGGAGGAAACTGAAGGTGAGGGGGGGGCACCCGACCCCCTGGGCATGGTCCTGTCCCCTCGGGCAAAGGGCTGGGGCCAACCAGAGCCGTTTCACCGGGGTTGTGGACCCCCCACCCCAAGCAGAGTGACATGTGACAGTGCAGGGGGCCGGTGTGGAAGGTGGTGAAGGATGGAGGAGCTGCTGCAGGGAAAAGCATGGCCAGAGGGGAAGGGCTGGGCTGCCACCTCCCCCTCCACTGCTGGGGGCTTGACAGTGGCTTTGAAGGGGAGGATTCTGCCAAGCACCCACTAACGACCACTCAGTGCCCAAAGGAACGACCGGGGCTGGATATGGGGGGTTGGGATGGACATCTGGAAAAGCTCCTTCCCCCAGAGGGTGGTTGGCACTGCCCAGGCTCCCCAGGGCAGTGGGCACGGCCCCAAGGCTGCCAGAGCTCCGGGAGTGTTTGGACAATGCTCTGGGGGACAGGGTGGGATTGTTGGGGTGTCCTGGGCAGGGCCAGGGGTTGGACGTGGATGGTCCTTGTGGGTCCCTCCCAGCTGGGGGTGTTCTGTGACTCTGTGACTCTGCAGTTCTGTGACCCTGTGCCCCCGTGCCTTTGCCACAGGCTGCCATGAAGGCCGTGGTGGCCTCCAGCCGCCTGGGCAACCACGGGCACCACGACTGCTCCCGCGGCGGGCGCAGCCAGGGGGGTCCCCGGGGCCCCTGCCCGCCCCAGGGCTCGGGGACCACCGGCCCCGGAGCCCCCACGGCCGACGAGGACCTCGGCGTGTTCCAGAGCGACCACCCCGCCGTGCCCCCCGTGCCCGTGCCCGGCGCCGGCTGCCAGAGCTAACGGGGTCACCTCCGACCACCAACGCCCGCCGAGCCTCGGGGGGAGCGGGGGGGCCGCGAGAGCCCCGAGCCCGTGGTCTGGGCTGTGGGACGTCCTTCTTTCGTGTCCTGTTCCCGGGAGTCGTCCCGGTCCTGCCCGTGTGTGTCTGTGCCCACCCGGCTCCGGGGACCGGGCGGGGCTGGGATGTGACTCCTGGGATGTGACTCCTGGGATGTCACTCCTGGGATGTCACTCCTGGGATGTGACTCCTGGGATGTGACTCCTGGGATGTCACTCCTGGGATGTCACTCCTGGGATGTGACTCCTGGGATGTCACTCCTGGGATGTGACTCCTCTTCCCGGGGCCTCTGGGGCTGGGAAAGGTCCCAAATGGCTTAAAAACGAGGAGCAAAGAGCAGCACAAAGGATTTCTCTCCCCTCCCCTCCAGAGGCAGTGGGTTGTCTTCGAGGGGTTTGTACTTTCCTGTAAATAGTCCTGGAAGGTTTATTTCTTTAGGTTATTGCTGCCCCTTGCTGTGATGTCTCCAGTGCTGTCCCCAGGCCCAGCTGGGGGTTTGCTGCTGCGTTAGACGAGGTTTTAGGAGCCTCTGAACCCAGATGTTTGATCCTCTCTGGAGAAAATTGTGTGCCAGTGGTTCCCTTGCCATCCCTGGTTGGCAGCTGACCTCCAATTTGTTTTTATTCCACCTGGTTTTGTGTGTTCCCACCTTGTCTTGCTGTGGATTCGTGGTGGTGGGGTTGTCATGGAACTGGGAATGCTGGTCTGGCCTCTCCTTGGCACTCCAGGTCAGCATTTACACAACAGTTTTAAGGAAGAACAAGGCAACCCTTTCCAGGGTGCTTTGTGGGACAACTGTAACTGTGCCCTGAGGGAGGGCAGCGAGTTTACACCTACTTGGGTTGTTTCTTTGTTTTTTAATGAAATCAGGGGACAAACCTCTTGAAAAGAAATTTTCTAGGCAGCACTTATGGAGCCACAGGACAAAGCATTTGCAGATTTTAAAACAGAACAAGTGACCAGACAGGAAAAGCCATATTCCACCTGGGAATTACGGGGAGCTGGCGGCTGCACAGCCCCAGCTGGGGGGTCCAGCAAGGTTTGATCCCTGAGGCAGCCCATGGCCTGCACCCCCACGGTCTGGGTTTGTAGCAGTGTGTTCAGGGCAAAACCTCACCTGGAGGAGGGTCAGTGTGTACAGGGGGTTCAATCCCCCAGGGCAGGGCTGCAGAACTGAACAGCTGGTACAGGAGGGGCAAAAACCCCCCAAAATGGGTGTTTTGCCGAAGCTGAAGCCGCGGTGACGGGCCCAGGGGTGACAGAGCAGGGTCAGCAGGGCACGGGAGGAAAACATGGCACAAGGATTTTGTGTTTGTTTGCAGCACAAGCAGAAATCAAAAGGGCTCCATGGAAGGGCTGATCCGCCGTGTGGAGCTCAGTGATGTTTAGGGAGCTTGTAAGGCCAAATACAGAGGAGAAATAGGATGTTCAAGGGGGGTTTTTACTTGGAAAAATATTATGTCTTGAGCAGAACTGGACTTTTTTTAACTGAGTTGTCCCTGTGTGGGATGTCACGGGGGAGGATGTGGACGCTGAGCCCGTGGGATGCTGCAGCACCAGGAAATTATCCCTTTTTCTTCGCATTTTGCAGCAGGGGCAAGTTTTTTCTCTCCTTTTTCTAATACCGAGGGCTGACCTTTGCAGTGTGTTCTCATCTCCAGTCTCTGTCCCACCCTTGGTGTGTCCTTCCAGCTCCGTGTTGTCTCCGTGTGCTCCAGCGGGACCGGAACCCCACCTTGAACCTTGTTGTTTATTAACCCGGGTTTTAAAGACTGTTTTATATCCTTTGACATGAAATACTGATTAAAGCACCTTGCAGGACCAGGCTGGAGTGCTCGGCACCCCCAGAGCCTGGGAAGCAGGGGCTGGTGCTGGGAATGGCTGAGTGACATTGCTGAACATTCCCAATCCCGCAGAAAAGTGGGAATTAAGGTTTCAGTGAGGTAACAAAAAAATAAATTACACAAAGTGTCTCCAGTGGTGGAAAGCACGGGGTGGGGGGAGGAAGCTGGGAGCAAAAACAGGAGTTTGCCTCTTATGTTAACAACTATTCCACAGGTATCCGTACTTAAAGGTAGGAAAAATGTGCTCCTGGGAGTAAAGCCCGCGGAGGTGCATTTGGGTCTGTTGCTGTTTGCAGAGTGCGTTTGAGTAACTGCTCCAGTGTAGTGGTGACAGTTCTGGTATCAAGGTGTTCATAACGAAGTAGAGACAGCCAATAAAGTATCAAACATCAGAGCGTGGGCTGCCTTTTCACTGTTACCCTCGGAAAAAAACAGGGCTAAAAACTGCCACGGGGTGGTTTGGGTGGGAAGGGGCTTTAAGGATCACCGGTCCCGCGGGCAGGGACACCTCCCATGGACCAGGTTGCTCCAAGCCCTGTCCAGCCTGGCCTCGGGCACTCTCCGGGCTGGGGCAGCCTCAGCTCGGGTGGGAGCGGAGGAGCTGCCAAGTCCCTTCGAGCCCAAACCGTTCATAGGCCGGAACTTGATAACGTCACACATGGCAATGACGTCACACATGGCAATGACGTCACCGGTCCGCTCCCGTGCCGCAGCACCGCCCGCCCTCCCCTCGGAGTAGGCGGGGCCTGCCGCGAACTCTCCAATAGGAGGAGAGGGCAGGCGGGGCGAGCGGCGCAGCGCTCGCTCCCATTGGCTGCGGCGCACCGTGTTTTGGCGGCGGCGGGGAAGGGGAGGGGCGGGGCCGGCGCGACAGGCGGCGCTCGCTGATTGGTCGACGTGGAGCCAGGGGCGGGACCAGGGGAGGGGCGGTCGGGCGGCGCATGCGCAGTGCCTCATGTGGCGGGCGGCGCGCGCGGCAGTGTCGGGAGCGCGCACGGTAACGACCCCCCCCCCCCCCCGCCCCGCCGCGGGCCGAGGGGACCTGGGGGTGAGGGGGGGGCTGGGGGTCCGTCCGTTCTGAGGGGGTGAGGGGGGGCTGGGGGTCCGTCCGCTCTGAGGGGGTGAGGGGGGATTGGGGGTCCGTCCGCTCTGAGGGGGCGAGGGGGGATTGGGGGTCTCTCCGCTCACCGGGACGGCGGGCAGGGGGAATTTGGCGGTCCCGTCCCTTCTCTCAGCAGGGAGAGCGAGGGGGTCCCGACCCTCCCCTCAGCGGGCAGCGGGGCGGGCGGGCAGCCCGTCCTTCCCCTCGCAGGGGTTGGGGGGTCCCGACCCTCCTCTCCCCTCACCGACGGATCGGGAGTTCCCGTCCCTCCCCTCCCCGTTTTTTTTGGGGGGGGGATTTCGTCCCTCCCCTCACCGGGGGAGTTTAGAGGTCCCTCCCCGGGTTTTGGGGGGGTCCCGACCCTCCCCTCATCGGGGTTTGGGGAGGCGTCTCATCGTTCCCCTCCCCGGGGTGTGGGGTGGGGGGCTCCTTCCCTGCCCGGGCGGTTCTGGGGTCCCTCCCCGGGGGTGTCTGGGAGTCCGGGGGCGGTTTGGGGGGTCGGGCGGGGCCGGTGGGTCCCGTTCCGGGCGGTGTTAACGGCCCTTCCTCCCTGCCCGGAGCCCGCGGCCCCCCAGGATCGGCCTGGTGAGTACGGCGGGGCTTCCTCGTCCTTAGCGGGGCTTTCCTGAAGCCCCCGAGGGCTCCGCGGCCCCTTCGCTCGGGTTATCGCCGCGAATCGCGCGTAAAAACCGGCACCGAGCTGGATATGAAAGTCGGTCTAGCGAGCCGTTTTTAGGGTGTAAATGCCCAGTTTTAGGGTGTGAATCGCTGTTTCCAGGGTTTGGTCGCAGGGAGGTGTGGGTTGGGCAGGCCCGCGGTTGCCTTGGTTAATTTGTGACAGTGTCGTCCTCACCCGGTGAGACCCGCTCGTGTTCCTGGAATGATGGAATTATTGAACCTTGGAATGGTTTGGGTCGGAGGGGACTTAAATGCCCATCCAGTTCCACCGCCGTGGGCAGGGACACCTTCCTCTAGACCTGGTTGCTCCAGGCTGGCCTTGGACACTTCCAGGGATGGAGCAGCCACAGCTTCTCTGGGCGAACTACAGAGAAATGGAATTTAAAAATACGGTTTTGAAGAATGGTGCAGGGTAACATCACTGCAGTGATCCCAAAGCTAAAACAATAATAACTTTAATAATGTGTTTGATTAAGCCCTGTGTTTCTTTAGAAAGATAAAGACAAAAGTGGACTAAGGTGGATGACTCCTTTATTCCCTTTTTTCCTCAGAGGACACTGGAATTGCCCTTTTTCAGCCATGGCCGACCCAGAGTTTGTTCTCTGCAAGTGGAAGAGGCGTTTGTGGCCAGCCAAGGTAACGAGGGAGTGTTTGTGGATAGCACTTGGGACGGGATGAAATGGAGCAGAAAAGGAGTGAAAGCTCCCAGTGGACATGTTTGTACTTGCCCAGTTTCACACTGGGAAGTGTCCAGGGCCAGATTGGACGGGGCCTGGAGCAATCTGGGAGAGTGGGAGGTGTCCCTGCCCATGGCAGGGGGTGGCACTGGATGGGCTTGAAGGTCCCTTCCAATCCAAACCATTCCATGATTCCATGATCCTAAGGCTGCAGCCAGCTGCCAAGGACTGTCAGGCTGTTCCTATAAAAATGTTTTGATGTCAGATCTGTCGGATAAGGATTTTAAATAAGTATTTTTGTGTAGGTTCTGTGCAAACCTGGAGTTGCTGGGAGCGCTCATGTCGGCACCACGACGAAGATGGGATTTAAAGCTGAGATACTGGGCTTGGAGAAGCAGTTGAGTATCCTTGTTCCTGCCACGTGTTTGCATTCTAAGATGTTAAAAAAAAGAGGGGGGAAAAAAGGAATCCCTTCACCTGAGGATTCCTGTGAGGTGGGATCGTGGATTTACAGAGGGTTTAGGTGTTTGACCCTCACAAGGACAGGTCTGGGGGGATGAGTATGTTGGGTTTATTGGTGGCTGAGAGCAGAGTTGTTGTGTTGGGGGTGTTCTCTGTGCTGGTTCCAGTGAGCTCTGTTGTGTTTCAGGGTCAGTGTGAGCTCTGCAAACGCTGTTCCACTGACAGAGGAGCGGATCAAGGCCATTGCCTCCAGCCTGGGTGAGCAGGGGCCAAAATGTGCTGCTTTGCCTCTATTCCAGGTGTAAAACAGACACAGAATCTCAGCCTGGGGGAGAATAGCTCTGTATTTCACTTACGTAGTTTTGAGGAGCTTTT